TTACAAAAAATAAAGATGTGGTTTTTGGTTCTACTACACCAATGGTCAAGAGATGGCGCTGTAGGCTCCTGAATCGCGCTTTGGTTCCGTTGTTCCAGATTAATAAATACTTTTGATAGGCCTTCACAATGCAGTCGTTAGCACCCACTAAATAGAGATTCTATTTCTATTTTGTTGGTAGATTTTCTTAATGTGCGGTAAACACAAAAGTAACGCATGAAGTTGGTCGCTAAAGCGACCAACTTCATGCTGTTAAAATTTTGTGTTACAGTGATGCGCGCGCATCTTAAAATTTCACTCTCATCATTTTTTCATAACGCGCCTAAAGAAGTATAACTTCAAAAATCTTCAAGTATAAATAATGCCAAGTTTTTGGCGATAGGATTCGTGGATTAGATTAAAGAATCGCAAAATAAGTAGGTATACTTACGTTTCTGTACGCAAAGCGGAAAAATGCGTAAATGGAAATCTAGGGTAGCATGTTTAAACACAGGCAAGGCATTCCATTCTAAAAAGTATTTTCTTTCGTAACATCAATGTCACGGAATTGTGCGTTTAACAGGTAAAGGAACGCTGGGTGGTGTGTCGAAAATCTAATATTCTGGGTGCGTTAAAAAGGGTCACCGTCAAATATTCACATTGTTTAGGCAAAGAGAATCTTACAAAGGGGTCCGCTATGGTACCTATATCTGCTTTTTTATATGTGCACACGAACCGTGTAAAATGTGTAACTAGACGGCCGTTTAGAATCGACCCTTTCTTAAATTATAGGGAGGTTGATAAGCAAAATTTTAAATTTACCTTTTGGTAAACGGTTACTTCGCTAATACTATAGCTGAGAAAGTACGCTTATTTTCAATGTCACAATGAGTTTCCTACCTTATTTAAGTTATTTGATTAATCAATCTGAATATTTCATGTCGATTACTAAAAACGGACTACATTTACATTTTGACGAACTTTATAAGTTTCATGTTCAAAAGCCAAACGTACCAAATTGTTGCAATTATGTTCACACTTATACCATAGTCAAGTTTTTTTCACTCAATGTCGTAGGTACCGTGTAAAATCTATACTTATAATAAATCTGTAGAGATGTCAATTCTGTACATGAAATATATTTTTAAAATAACTATCAGGGGGTGATTAGTGATCGATACTGATGCCAAAGATGCAATCAGTAAAATTTTTGTCTGTCTGTCTGTCTGTGTGTATGTTCCTTATAGAGACAAAAACTACTCAACGGATTTTAACGAAACTTGGTACAATTATTCTTCATACTCCTGGGCAGGTTATAGTATACTTTTCATCACGCTACAATCAATAGCAGCAGAGTAGTGAAGAGAAATGTTGGGAAAACGGGAGAAGTTACTCCATTTTTTAAGCTTCCGTCGCGGGTTCAGCCTTAATGGTTAAAGTTACATAGAAATCATGTATGACGGAAATATTCTACATAAAATTGTCTAAAAAATATCCCGCAACAGCATATGTCTATCTTTTATAGTTGACTCACAATTACACGTGTAATTATATAAATAAAGTCATTCTTTATAGCACAAGCCTGAGAACAAAAACCTATAGTTTACACTACAGCTCTACACCGAAGCGAAGCGAGGGCGGACCACTAGTCGTAAATAAATCGATTATTGGTCACGATTTTTATAACCATCTTAATGGGCACTCTTTTCGTGCCATCTCATCTGATTTATTGTTCACGATTGTAATCTGTTTTAAGCTCGGTTTACACTGCCCGAATAGAAGTTGTAAAGTAACACATATCAAAACATTCAAATTTTCACATTAAATAGATACCTAAGTAGTGGTACACGGTCAAATAATATAAAGCAATAAGTGACACTGATTTTGATAAAAAAGCGAACGTGAAAAAGAGGACATTTCATACACTTTTTTTGACACCTACGTACTTTCCAGTTAAGTCTATTCTCTATTCCTAACAAAGACGCAGAACTAAAAGTTTTAAGTTAAAAATAAACATAAGTTTAAGTACGCAACTACACATAATACGCTACGAAATAACTGATGGTTTTGACGGAAAAATCTTAACACTTTTTTGCCAAGTCCGTACCATCCGAAAAGGAACTTCGTTCCAAAACTATGGAAAAACTATATAGGGTCCCCCGGGACAACTGTCACTAGGGGGCAAATGTAGCTGTTTTGAATAACTCGTTACTGTTTAGTTTTTAAAATAAGTTACATCGGTGGCTGTGTGCAGTAACTTTTGTTGACCTACATATAAACAGATTTTGGTATTAACAAGTAAACTTTTTTCCTTTCTTTTATTTATAGTCATTTTTAATTCCGTAATTTTTTTACAAGTGAAAGTTAATCGACCGCAGTCAAAACATTTCCATAATATTTTTTTACGCAAATTGGAAATTGTTTAACAGTGTGTCATGAAATGATTAATGGTTAGTCATTTTGATTTAATTTGTTTTATCTTACGCTTATGAAAAGTAGTATTTGAGAAGTTACGTTCTCCTCTTCAAAAATTGTGAGTGGTGTAATTGATTAAGCTGGGGTAATAAATTGTAGCTCCTATGGTTTTATTTAATTTTTAACATTTTATATGAGACTATTAATTCTATTGTGGTAGTGCCTCGTAATATCAGTTGCTACTCGTATTATATGGTCATCCAAAGTTATCGAACTAAAAATCCCATGCACTAAAATAAATAGAAAACTTGCCAGTTACCCCCTGATGGTACTTTAAGTAAATTTAAAGCGAATAGAACTCTAATATAGAGCTTGAAAGTACAAATTTCACGGACTTTTCCTGTTAGTTTGAGCATTATAGATAATACAACAAAGATATACGGATGGTTAGCTATAATGCGATTCAAATAAGAATAGGAAAGTCAATGAATAGGAGATGATCCATCTGTCAAATGTTGCTTGAAAAGTAAGGTTTGCAAAAAACCTCGAAACACTTTTTTAGCACTCAGCTGATTCTAGAATAAAAACCAAACATTTTTAAACAAACAATAACAAATGTTGGTGATTAATATTATTTGTTTTTGTTTTTTGCTTATTGAGTATTGGCTATGAATGGTTGATAACCTATATCGTCAACCAAATGTCACTTTATGTTGCGTTCAGAAACTCGTTTCAAAACTTTTGTTAACATATAGGATGCGTGTTCGTATGTGACCTGCATGATTATTCATAACATCTCCGGCGGTAATGCAGAGATGAGTGAAATTGAAGAGCTAGAATGTTTGTTTTCACACAGTCTTAATAAAGAAATATTATTAAAAATCGGTTGTGTTCTTTCCCAACCTTAATAAATTAATTTTATTAAAAAATCTGATGTTTTGTGTCACTTAGTCTTAGTAAATAAGTTTTATTAAATAGCAAAATTTTTTTGCTCACTCTACCCAATGGTTTGAATTGACAGCTATGACGTCAAAATATGGCGCCCAGTCGGTCCTATTCTTAGTTGAATCGCATTATACATTTACCTCAGATCGGGGGTAAATGTGACTATTGGCGGCTTGAAATGGAATCCTCAATTAAAAATTAGTTTATTGACTTTATATGAATCTGAACTCGTTTACATTATCATTATTACATGTTTAATCTAAATAATTAATAGTAGGTATTTGGTAAATTGTATTTAATAATGTAAAAATATTAAAGTCACAAGTTTGATATATTTTTTTTGTAAATACTTAATCTGTCTGCATTTAAAATCCTAACACATCGCGCGTCTCCTATACGGAGACCAAGATGCACGTCCTTAAATACAAAATTTCAATGAGGCGCACACCGTTCTTATTTTTTCATAATAGAAAATAAGCCTAACGTTAGGTGCGGAAACTACCTAATAAAAAAACGAAACGTCTGCGCTAGTGTTGCCGAACTATCGATATGAAAACTATCGACAGTTTACATCGAAAATCGTGTACCCTATCGATAGGCCTATCGATAGAATCGATAGGCCTATCGATAGAATCGATAGTATCGAAACTATCGATAGCACAGAACAAGGCAATACTATCGAATGAGTGCAATAATATCGATACTATCGATACTATTGTAGTTCGTTAATAACAAACTATTGATAGTATCGATACTATCGATACCGTTGATTTTATCTGCAACAATACTATCGATAGTATCGATAGTATCGATACTAGCGATTGTTTTAGACTATCGATAGTCTACCAATTTGCAATAGTATTAGGTATGTTTTAACAGTATTGTAGTTGAGGACTATTAGAGGCCGATATATATATTTTTATAAACATTTCTATCGAGCTGTGCTAATTCTAATAGTTGATTATGATTGACTATAATACCTGAAGATTGTAAACAATACTATTGCAAATTGTTAAACTATCGATAGTATAGTTGCAAATAAAATCGACAGTATCGATACTATCGATAGTTTGTTATTACCGACCTACAATACTATCGATAGTATCGATAGTATTTCACTCATCCGATAGTATTGGCTTGTTCTGTGCTATCGATAGTATCGATACTATCGATAATATCGATACTATCGATAAGCCGATCGATTGTCATACGATTGGTCGGCTATCGATAGACTATCGATTAATCCTCGATAGTCGACTATCGATTAATCCTCGATAGTCGACTATCGATCGGCAACACTATCTGCGCTAGGGTCATGGAATTCCTAATCTAAATTCCTGATTAGGAAACCGTACATTATGTGTCCAGTCAAACTAAGTTAAGTACCTTATATGTCACTAACAAAAAACTTTTTAGCAAAAAAAATTACACATTTTTTCCATATTCATATGGGACCAACTTCGGACCCTTTATAGGATTTTAATAAAAAAAGAATCAAAATCAGACTTCTCTGTAAAAAGTTATACGTGGTCATACACAAAGAAAAAATATACGCGCCGACTTGATAAACTCCTTCGTTCTTTTTTCGTCGGTTGAAAATTTCCTCTCATTTCATATCGCGGCAATGTAACTTGAGCCTTATCAAAACTCTTTTCTTACAGCCAGCCCGGTGCCATTCCCGGCCTGCCGCGCCGATAACATCGACTGCCTTAGGCGAGGCATTAGAACCTTCTTCGTACTCATGGACCAAGGCCACGTGGGCATGGAGACCGTTGACCCGTACATAGTGAACAGCGTCGCGCTGTCGCTGCCGGAGGATAAGATGTCCATTCTGCTGAGGAGGGCCAACGTCACCGGTGCGAGATGGACGAAACTGACTGACAGACGGTAGGTACGCGATTTTGTTTTGTTTTATAATGTAAACACGGTGTGTTTAAATAGGTCTTGATACAAATGGAAGTAAATGGCTAGATCGTGGATCGAATATCGCAGCTTTAGCAAACTCACATTTAAAGTGGCTATTGGAATTCATTTGTGTCTCGTCGTATATGGAAGCAATATTTACTCCATCGTATTCTTAATAAACCCATCGTTTGCTTGAAAAATTAAACAGGGTCGAAGATTATATCAATATATTGTATTTGAAGACATTATATTGTAGTTGCAAATATTGAACCTGAACAAGATCGGTCCATCAACATCTGATAGCCTACCAAGTGCTGAGATGCTACATTTTTTGGTGAAAATTTGGAGATAATAAAAATAAGCATATGATCTGACAACATCGACTTCCTGAGGCGAGGCATTAGAACCTTCTTCGTGCTCATGGTCCAATGCCACATCACCTGTGCGAAATGGACAAAACTGACACAAGGTAGGTACGCGATTTTATTTTGTTTTCTTAATGTAAACACGTCGAGTGTCAACGTTGATATCGTGGATCGAACATCGCAACAGTTACGAACTCACATTTGAGTCGGCTATTGGAGTTAATTGGTGTCTCGTCGTTTATAAAAGCTATCTTTACTCCATCGTATGCATAAAAACTCCATTGTTTGCTTAAAAAATAATCAAGGTGGATGATCAGCATTATATTGTAGTTGCAAAAATTTAAGCTGGGAACCCTAACTAGATCGTTGGCGTTCCATCGATAGCTGATGGCTTACATGAAGAGCTTTCTCTTCGTTTGGATGCTACATTTCTTGGTGAAATTTTGGAGAACGCTCCACAAATCCGAACGGAGGTTAAATTTTCGGAGTTCTGATTAAAAAGGTCCTGCTGTATATTCCATCGTATTCTTTTTAAACCCATCATGTACTTGTGAAGTTTACCAAGGTGGAAGATCAGCGAGTGCAGGATATGTCCAAGTGACGTGCGTACATTGTATTTCAGTTCCCTACATTACATAGGAACCTTAACTTGAATGGTAACACCTGGTGTTATGTACAGTACAGTGCTACAGAAAGCTACATTTTTTTGGACGATAATTTTGTCGAATCTAGCATAAGTCTCTAAACCTAAACCTAAATTTGACAGCAGTGCATCCTTGTCATTCTCTATACAGAATGCAAAGGAGAAACTGATGTTGAATTTAGTTTTAATTTTAGAGCATCATGCCCGAATCGACACCATTAAAATACTATATTATACGTATTTGTTTCTTAGGTTTTCACGCACATCACTCATTAAATAAAACTAGTTTTTACGGGTTAATGCACGAAACTTTATTTATTTATTTAGCCTTTACAGGCTACGTCGTCAGAATCAAACTTTTATTTAATTTGTCGAGCTACCTTCGAAAGACTTTTATTGAGCGTTCGGTTATTTCATTGTTCGATTTTTAAAGTTTTATTTATTGTCTATGTATGGTTCTGACGACGTAGCCTGTAAAAACTACGAAACGTCAGTAAATAAATAAAGTTTCGTGCATTAACCCGTAAAAACTAATTTTATTTACTATTCTACGTTTAGGAATTATTTGAAAAAAAGAAAAACAAAACGGCATGTCTGGTGGTAAATGGCCATCTTAACCTGTAAAAGCTTGAGATATTATTAAGTAGATTATTACAAAAGCATTGCTTACCCTGGCGCCTTATTCATGGATCCGTCTCACTTGGGAATATATCACATAGATTTATAAATAATAAAAACGATTCATTCGGCTCATTGTTGTTTATCTTTAATAATGTATAACAAAAGTGTAAGAAACTGGTTCAAAGAAAATAAGATAACGCGAATGTTAGATAATTAATTACAAAGTCATAAGTGTTACTGATATAGGTACATATTCTACATATACATAAAATGTATTCAACACGTTGCTACCCCAAAAAGTAGGTACTTAATTAATGTTTCAAACTCATAAGCTTAAATTTTTATGCATCGGATTAAAAGTATTAGCGACCTTATTTACAACATATATATTTTTGCATATCTTTAACTTACGGATGACCTAAAATTAATAAAACAGAATCAAAAATATAAGGAGGATATTGAATTATAGATTAGTTAGTTGCCATCTGGCCTGACATCAATTTAGATCCGGGATCAGATGATGATTTTTTAAAATCTTGGCCATTTTGAATCAGTAATTAATTAATTAATCAGTAATACGTACATTAGTTAACAGGGCAAAGAACGATTTGCTATACCTATTTTACAGAATAAATCTGAGTTTTTATTCATATTTATGGAACAAAGTTTAAAGGACTAATTTCAATGACTAATAAAAGATTCTTTAATTTTTATTCGGGTGGCAAAGTGTAGGTCGATGATTAGCGTTACTATTTTTTAATCTGAAGTTCAGTCTGAAATTTTTAACTATAAGTAACATTCGCAATGGCGGGTCCATAGGATAGGTGACTAAAAATTAACTAACACCATGCATTATAATGTGAAATATTTAGGAGTGTGGCTAGATCATAAGTTAAAATGGACAAAACATGTAAACGAAATTAGGGAGAAAGCTTTAAAGTTTGTTAATATTCTAAAAGTATTGTCGGGTCCGGGTTGGGGGGTACACCCTTTACATTCACGGCGATTGTACATGGCCTGTGTGAGAAGTAGACTTGACTATGTTTGTTTTTATATGATAACAGTTCTAAAAAACAACTACATAAATTGAATGTTGTACAAAATCAGTGTATGCGAATTATAGGCGGTTTTATAAAATCAACAGGAGTTCATGTCATGGAAAGTGAGCTGAATCTACCCCTACTGTTTATTAGAAGGAAATATTAAGCAGGAAAATACTGGTTAAAATGTAAATCATCGGCAATTAACGATCTTATTACAGATTTGGATAAATTACATACATTTACAGAAAATGCATTTTGGAGAAATAAGAAAAAACCGCTTCTAATTCAGGTACACGAAAAATTTAAATTTATGTCTATCTACAAAAACACTCAATTAGAAATGTTTAATTTTGGCACTTGGATTAGTAATTTAAATTTAGAACTGACAATACAAACTAAAATTAATATAATGACAGGACCTAAACGGTTTTATAGAACAGTAGACTTGAAAAACCTCTGTGATCAGTTCATAGAAGATGAGTATGGTAAAGCGTATAAAATATACACGGATGGTTCGAAAGGTAGGGAGGGTGTGGGCGCGGCTTTCTATGATGGGCAGAATAATAACTACATTGGCTTCAAACTCTCAAAAGAGATAACAATAATGCACGCGGAACTAATAGCAATAGCGGAAGCCTTATCCTACCTGACAACTGTCCCGTGCTCAGAAAAGGTCATACTTTCCGATTCGAAGAGTTCGCTACAGCATATTGCTCGATGTGCCTCGTCTATACGAAGTCTACCGATTGCATATAATATTTAACAGTCTGTCCGTGAACTGAATACACAGAACAAAAAAGTGGTATTACAGTGGATCCCTTCCCATTGCGGTATCTTACAAAACGAAAAAGTGGACTCCTTAGCAAAGGAAGCAAGCATAGAAGGGATGGATTTTTTGTGTTTACCCTATGGTTCGGAAGTAATGAATTATATAAAACAGTGGTGTAATGACGTTTGGAAAGAACATTTTTATGAACGATCCTTGAGTAAAGCAATATGGTACAAAACAATACAACCAACTTTAGCCAATAGCCTCTGGTTTACGGATACCGGTTTGTATTGGGAAGGGATACCATAGTACTGGCACACACACTCCGATCTGGTCACATACCTTTAAATAGCTTTGGTTATTTGATGAGAAAAGAGAACTCTCCAAATTGTACTGAGTGTGATCGGATCGAGGATGTGTGGCATGTGATGGCTGAATGTACGAGGGTTGCAGCGGAAAGATACCAACTTTTTAACCAATTCCCGGAGCTGACAATAATGGATGTTGGTTTATATAACAGCATACTGTCTGGTCCCTTTTCCAAAATAAGTAAGGTCTTGTATAAAATAGTATCAACCTGTATAAGACGACGATAGAAGGATAGAACGATAAGGGTAACATGGTCTATAATAGACAAAACCCTTTAAAAAAAAAGAAAAAAAAAACACCATGCATCGGAAGGCACATTAAGCATCCGGTACCGGCCGCATTTGAAAACGTTAGGTTAGCACCTAAAACATTGCACACCTGTGCTCCAGCAGTGAAGGTATCAATAGATTGATATTAAATCGGATCAGGAGCTCGACGACGTAGGTGATTAGCGCGTTCGGCCTACGATCGTGGAAGTTAAGCAACTTTCGCAATGGTCGGTCATTGGATGGGTGACCAAAAAACTTATTATCTCAAGCGCCTCCGTGCTTGAAATGGCACGTAAAGCCGTTGGTTCCGGCTGCATCTGCAGTCGTTAGTACCCACCAATCCGCACTGGGCCCGCGTGGTAAGACATCACGGCACAATCTCCATAAAAAGTAAATAAATACAATGATGTGCAAATAAAATGTTGAATGAATATATATATATTAGTTTAAGAGTATAAAATAGAGTACATCACTTTTAGAGCACTCAATGACACATCATTGAATGATCATCTTCTAAAACAAGTTCAAAATCTTTTACGGTACAATGGCAATTAACTATGTTGATACATTTTTTTGCATTACACAAAAAATAAGTTATTTTTTCCTTGACCTAACATTATTATTTTTAATTGCTAACATTGTTGCATCTTCTGTTTGTCACTTTTCTGTGTGATTCTACAAATTGTCCGATGGTTTACAGACAAATCGTTATGGTAAAACTTGAATGTGAATGTAATTGTGAACCAGTTTATTTCTTAAGAATGCAAACGCATGTGTCCGCCAACTTGTATGTAATGTTGTGTTATAAATAATATTACGGAACGAAGGCGCGATATTTGTCAGTCAAGGTTTATAACCTTCATCATCAGCCTATGAATGTCCCCACTGCTGGGGCACAGGCCTTCCCTATGAATGGTATAGGGAGAGATTAGGATATGACTCACCACGAGGGCCCAGTGCGGAGTGGTGGGTGCTAACCACAGTGACGGCTTAACGTGCCTTCCGAAGCACGGGGAAGCTCAGGATAGTAAATTTTTTTTCACCCATCCAAGGACCGACCGCTGCGAAAGTTGCTTAACTTCAACGATCACAGGTGAAAGCGCTAATCACTTGCGACATCCAGCTCCTCATTACCTTCAAATACCTCTTATCAATGAAAATAAAAATACGTCGCTCTTAACATACTCCAAAACAACAGTTTAATCGGGAATAAAAATAAAAAATCCTTATTTAGTAACAACATACATACGGACTAGGGGCTATGCTATTACTAGTCTATTAGTCAAATAAATGCCATAAATAGTAAATGTAAGAAAAAACAGAATGTCATTATATGAAATTAAAAAAACGATCACGATTTAATTACCGCAAAAAAATTAAACTTTTTTATTTTTATTTTATTTTATCTTTTAGGTATAGCAGGTAGTAGTTTTTTCATCTTTAATTATTTATTTTTATGGACTGGCATGCGTTCTACATTAAAACAGTAAAAAACTAATCCAAGAGATGGAAAAAATTAAGCAAACATTAAATTAGAGCAAAAATTGTACTTTTAAGAAAAATGTTGAAACAATTTTTTTTTTGGAAAAGTTAAGTTTACTACAGTAGTTCATAGGATCAAATCTTTCAGAAATAACCTAAATAATAAAGACCTTAAATATCTTCGTCGACTTTCCTGTGTCTCTGTATAGTTAAGGCCGCATCGTTTGATACAAAATCGAGGAGCTCGATGGCGTGTCACCGCGTGGTCCGCGACCCGGTCTCCCCTGTGGGTCTCCCTATTCCATCCATACGGAAGGCCTGTGCCCCAGCAGTTAGGGTTACCATCCGTCCGGATTAGTCTGGACATGAGCGGACTTTTAGACTATTGCCCGGACTTTGTCCGGATTTCTTAAATTTCATTGGATATCAATAATAAAAGTACATATTTATTTAAATATCGTACCATCGTAACTAAGTAATGGACTAAGTCCGGACTTTCTTCGAAATGTCAGGACTTTTGAAATTCCTAAATGGTAACCCTACCTGCTGTGGGAATATTAATAGTCTGATGATGATGTTTGATACATAGTTAAATGTTACTATAGTTTAAATACCCGATATAGATAAGTAACCATTTATAAATAAAAAACACATTTTACTATCAATGTAGGTTATTTGGCGTGATATTGACTAGCTCAGCTATACTCTAAGTGTGTTCCGCGGAACCCTAGGGTTCCGTGATACCTCTGTCGGGGTTCCGCAAGAATTTAGAAATAAAAAAATCAAAACACCTCTCTCTGGTCGCTCCGCGGCTGTGCGGACTCCGCGGCCGCGCGGAGACAAAACGCTATGAATGTTATTTATTTATTTATTTGTATTTGTATAAGCTTGTGTTACATTAGCTGGTACAATATCTCATAAGTTTGGTCTCAACAATTTTATACTTGTACAACGCGTTCGCTCTAAGTTTGCCGGTCTGTGGAATGCGCGTACCCTCCCCCACGTGACAACAAAACTTATAATGTGTCATAGTTTTACCCAAATATCTAACGTACACAATTTTTATTGTTACAATTAAATAAAAAATTTCGAACGTCATACACTCATACCTATCGCCAGCGGCAAACTTAAAACGAGCGGGTAGTATACTTGTAAGCGCTCAGTCTCTTTGATAAAAGCCGCCTCTGAATTAGACGCTATAGTTGTCAACTAGCGACTTTCGTCTCTAACTTCAAAGGATAAAGTCGATATTGTTTACAACGCTATTTTTAAATTTCTGTTTTTATTTTTGCTTTTTGTTTATCAAAGGTGCCGACTCGAGTATTTTCGAGAATATTTGAGATCGAGTCTAGGACTAAGTATAAAAGCGGCGATCGCGCGTTGGCGTCGTCAGTTGATGATTAGCGTTCGGAGCGATAAGTTACTACCTACTTACAAGCTCGCTAGCGAGAAACTGGTGTTCATTGTTTTACTGCCTGCTGTATTCTGTTGTCTCAGTTTTATACATTTCTTCCCTGTAGGTTCTAAATTTAGTCTCTTATACGCAGTAACGATTGTGCATTATTTAAACCCCACTATCCTGACTTGTAACATTATAAATAAAGAAGAATGGAACGTTGGCTTAAAGGTGTTAAACGTGTTCCAACAACATCTTCTAATGACGCTGAATGTTCAAAAGCAATGCGCGCGGAGAATTTAGCAATCACCGATCCAGAAGATGATGCCACGAGTGCCACGACGTCAAGCTCGACGGTTTCAAAGACGAAAAAAAGGAAGTATGATGAATCTTATATCAGTTTCGGATTTGTTGATTCCAACGGCTCACCTCTCTGCATGCTCTGTAGTAAACTGCTTCCTAATAGTTCCATGGCACCTGCCAAATTGCGTCGACATTTAGAAACCGTACACCCCGAGACTAAAGACAAGAATAAAGAATTTTTTGTTCGCAAAAAAGATCAGTTATTAGAAAGTCAAAAAAATATGATGCATGTAACACAAACTACCAACGAAAAGGCCACGGAGGCATCATACTTAGTTAGCTATCGCATTGCACAAGCAGGTGAAGCGCACACTATCGCTGAGAAATTAATAAAACCATGTGTATTAGACATAACAAAATGTATGCTTGATGAAAAATCTGCAAAGCATCTTTCTACTGTTCCGCTATCAAACGATACTGTTTCACGACGAATCCATGATCTGGCAAGCTACGTCAAACAAGAACTAGTTACACGTCTACAAAATACACGATTCGCTTTGCAAATGGACGAGTCGACTGATGTCGCTGGTTTGGCTATCCTGCTGGTTATTGTGAGATATCCATATAAAAGTTCTTTTGAAGAAGACATGCTTATGTGTTCATCGCTGCTTACAAACACTACCGGGGAAGAAATTTTTAATAAAATAAATATATTTTTTGAAGAACATAATCTCAGTTGGAACAATTGCATTGACATTTGTACAGATGGGGCCAAGGCGATGACAGGTAAAACAGCAGGAGCAGTGTCACGAATGAAAAATAAAGCGCCTAATTGTAGTTCCAGTCATTGTATTCTGCATAGACAAGCACTTGCGATGAAGCAAATGCCGTCTAATCTAAAATTAGTTATGGATGAAGCGGTAAAAATAATTAATTTTATCAAATCACGACCACTACAATCCCGATTGTTCTCATTATTGTGTGAAGATTATGGCAGCAAACATAAAACACTGCTGCTCCATACAGAAGTGCGATGGCTGTCTCGGGGAAAAACTTTAACAAGGCTATTTGAACTTAGAGCCGAGTTACAAATGTTTCTTTCAGCAGATACTTCTTTTAATTTGAAGGACCGTTTGTATGATAAAACTTGGTTGTTCCGATTGTCTTTTATGGCGGATATCTTTCAAAAACTTAACGAATTAAATTTATCATTGCAAGGTAAACAGACAACAGTGTTTCAGGCCTATAATAAAATAACTACTTTTAAAAGAAAATTAGATTTTTGGATCATTTGCATTGGTAAGAAAGAAATAGAAAGTTTTACGTTACTCACTGAGTTTGTTAGCGAAAACGACTCAGAAATGTTTGAAGATAATGTGTTTGAAGAATTGGTCCAATATCTCAGTTCGATGCGCGCATCTTTTGAAAAGTATTTTCCCGAAGAACACAATACAAAAATTAAAGTGAACTCCTGGATTCATAATCCTTTTTTACCCAACTTGGAAAAGCCTGAAAACATGTCAAATGAGATATATGAATCTCTTTTAGAAATGTCATCAGACACAAGTATGGAGTCATTGTTCAAAACGACGCCTCTTAATGATTTTTGGTGCAGAATCCAAGATGAATATGCAATGCTTGGCCAAATGGCTCTGGATATTCTTCTCCCGTTCCCAACTACATATTTGTGCGAAACAGGATTCTCTACCTACGCAGCCACGAAAACAAAATATCGCAATAGACTGGACGCCGAAGCTGATATGAGACTCCAACTTTCTTCCATCAAACCTGATATCAAGCAATTGATGAAAAATAAAAAACAGTTTCATACCTCCCACTAGTTAGATTTTTTCTTTTTTAATGTTTTCTATTATTGTCCTTACCAAGTGGTGAAGTAAATAATAATTAGTAACGGATACATTGTACTTTTATTATGCTGATTAATATAGAATACACTTATAAAAATAATTGTTTTATTGTAGGGTTCCATCAAGTATTTTGCTTCCCAAAAGGGTTCCGTCATTTAAAAAGTTTGAGAACCACTGGACTAGCTAATACTCGTAGTCAAATTTAACTATGTATCAAACAACGCGGCCTTGTTACAACTGGTTACTTTTACGAAAGTATTTAACTATTATTACTACTGATGAAACAACAGCACCTTAATATATTTACGCCCACTAACCCAAAAGAATCAACGCTCTAAAAGAACGTCTGAGAAAAAAAACCCTGTTATGGTTCCGTACAATAACAAATATTAGCTATTTTGACGAGATATTATTCAGATGAGGAAAAAAAAACAGGAAAAAGAAAAAATCGATAACATCAGGTAGGGTGGAGCCATTTGTCGGACCTATTTATAAAAAATAATAATTTGTTTGTTTTCTTCACAACTTACAAACCAGTGGTCCCAAATGACTAACCGACTCCTTATAACTACATAATTAATCAACATTTTCAGTGTTTGCAGTTTAAATACAGAATATAGGACATCATATACCAAAAGATTTCACATTCTGAACTAGTCTTGATTTTAAGATAGACCACGATACAAAAATAGTCTAAAAATTACAATTTTGACGCAATTTCATCGTTAATGAAACTTAAAAATAATAATAAATATCCTACTTAACGAGCTCTAGACAATAATGTGTGACATGCTGTGTTGAAAAAGAAAAAAAAAGTCTGCTTTTCATGTGAATGAAAAACAATTTAATTGAACTTTTAACTAAATATTCGGCTTTGGGCAAGCATTCTTCATAAAATACCAAAATTTCAGTTCTGTAACTGAATTCGTTTACGATCTAGACCGTAACATGACATTCGGACTCTTTAAATACGAACAGACAGACAGACAGGGTACAGTTTTTACCCTCGGGTACGGAACCCTAAAACCGAGCTTGTCAAACTTGTTTAGTCTGTATGTCAGAGGTATGTAGAGAACAAAGGATCAATTAAGTACCTGATGTTGTATTTCGACACTGTTTGTAACGGGGGGTGTAACTCAGTGGTAGAGTGTCTGCTTCGCATGCTGAAAGTCCTGGGTTCAAATCCCAGCACCTCCAAATTTAAGAAAAGATCTTTTTTTAAATTATCTTATTTTCCAAGCATAGTTTTTGCATTGTAATTGCATTTTTCAATTTCTAAATAAATATAACGGTACTAGATGTGCCCCATGGTTGCACTCGCGTTAACATTAAGTTATCTTATATTGAGATATTATGAATAACATGCGTTTTCGAACATGTAACTACGGATACTTTTTGCTGTTGAATAAACGATTTATATTTTCCTATAGGTCGCGGTCTCATTGTTGGTACACTCCGTATAAGTTCATATTAGTCCGACATCCCGCCGCTTGATACTATGAAATAGACTTATTTCTAATCGGTATGCGTGTTTCAATCTTGACCCGCCCGACTTCCAAATCATACCTCCTCGTTTTTGAACTCGGTTAAAGAGGTATTCGATAATTCGAAGATTTTTAAGGTAGAGATTGGAGAATATCACCCAGCGTGACCTATATCTCATACTCCGACCGACGCGACTGTTTGCTCCGCAATGTTTGCTAATACTACCCTGTCTACTCACAGAACATTCCCAACGTTTTTAATCTCCGCTTCTTATATGAAGTTGTCTTTACTTTTTTTCCGTTTCACCCATAATATTACTGTAATATATATTAACTGTTTGTCACGCTTGCACATCTAAACCGCTGGTGGTGATGAATTTCGTATTAAAATTGAAGAGGACCTTGGAGAAGAATATAGGTGGCTTTTTATTGAGAAAATGAAACTTGCAGCTATGGAAGGAGGTTTGTAAGGTACCAAATGACTACCCATTTTTTGTGATGTAGTATTTTGTATAGTAGGTACCTGTTGGTAGCAAATGATTTTTATGCACGCCTTTTAAAACACAATACTTAACAGAACTATGTGAAAATTTGTTCACAATGGCATTGGTTAGTAATCCTTAAGTGAGCACGTTCCATTTACAGCGCTAAGCGGCTTCGTTAATGATGTCAATTTCATTTGTAAATACAATACTAGGAATAACGTAAAAAAGATACCTATTATACTTAGCGCGACGTTTCCTTAACCCTAGAAAGATAAATCTACGCCTCAGAGGCGCCCGCGTTAATATGAAAATGCTGTATCTTCTACGCGTATATCGAGCTGTCCATTTTTGTCAGCCCAGTGATCAGTGCATAGTATGGCGGGAAGGTCCATCCCGATTTTACGCGGTAAGTACCATATTCTTGCAGTTATGACCAGGTGATGCGCTCCAAAGGCGCATGGTTATCTTTTGTTTGATTTTAGTAGAAGTAATGATTTGTTTCTACATGAAATGTAAATAAATGTTTATTTATTTTAGCGTTCCATGTTTTTAGCTCATAACGATGACCCAAAGAATACAATCTGATAATGAAATATAAGAATTGATAACTGAAGTGGAAAAGTACGAGGACATGGAGAAGATTAGCAGTGAAATAGAAGACCATGTGGGTGAAAATCATATAAAAAGTGACTTCGAAGAAAAGTTATCGATAATGAGTTGACAGAAGTATTGAAGGATACATAAAATAAATACAATATAACTCCTCACATATCTTTAGCCACTGCCACCAGTTCATATGGCAACATCACGTCGTGACGTTAGAACTGTAGAATTGTTCCTGATCGATGTGTGATATTTTTATGACATATTGAATTTGACATTGTCAATTTGTATGTCGTATATTGTCACAACGATCTTGTGAAAAAATAAAAGCCTCTGAATCAAAGAGTATACATGAAAAAGACAGCACCTTGTTATCTGAACCGTTGATGATAGAAAGACTGGCAGCTCCTTTTTGCCAAAGTGTATGCGAAAAAAATTCACAAATATTCTTCCAAATTCGAATATGCAAAACTGTACAGATGATAAAGAAGAACCGCAAGCCAAGAAAAGACGGTATCTCATCTTTAGTACGAGTAACAAAAGAATGTCCAAGATGACTTGCGCCAACTGTGAAAAACAGTTTACGATGAACACAAAAATGATATTTTACTTTGAATGCTTGTAAACTATATATAATTATAGTTTTTACTGTTTTATATTATTTGATTAGTAAACAAAAATGATTTATTTGGTTTTTAAGAAAAGAAACATTATTTTGTGATAATATTTTCCTAAGAACAGAAGACTGTTAATTTTGTAATTTTTTTCTAGAGGTTTAAGTTTAAAATATATGAATAATTTCGATAAAAAAGTTTTTTTATCATTAGCTCTAATAGACTAATCCCACACATTAAAATAATTAGGTAAATAAATACAAGGAAAAGGTTTTAATAAAATTAAAATGAAACATTAAAATATTATGCGCCTCCGAGACGCATGGTTATCTTTTGTGAACGTCAAAATAAGGTTCTTTCTTTTCTTTAAAACATAAAATTTACAGACTTGCCTTTTGCACGAAATAGCTATGTTATTTCATTATCATACTTGAAAGAGTCATGACGTATCGGATATATTTACTTTGCGTATTTAGTTTTTCATTTGTTAGCTGCACGACGCAATCTTCAGGTGAGTCAAAGATTTATTACAGCGAGTTATTGTTCATACAAAAGGAATATATTCATAAGACTGTTTTTAAATGGCTTGTGATTTGCATATATATTTCAATTTACCATAAATAAAAAATATATTAAATAGGTTCTTATCGTGGATTTGTTCTGAGATATTTTCTTGCCAGTGCTATTGTGTACTATACCATCTGTAATTAAGATTGGATATAATGATAAAATTATTGTAATTACTAAAAATTACTTCCTTTTCGTCATAAAAGTTAAGAGATCTGATAAATTATATCATCGATTTCATTGTCTTTGTTGTAAACTCATTAAATTAACATAATTATGCATTTGCATTAATATCAATAATGTTAGACATCCTATTTCGTATTTCGACCTAAATACAAAGATTACTGCCACGATATTTCACATATTGAAATAAAGCAAAAAATACAGAATTTCTTGGTAATCTACACCAATTTTTAAGTTTCTAAATGTCACTTCTCACGTTTGTCTCAAGGTTTACTTTAATATCATTTAGCCTTCAAATACCTAACCATTATTCATTCTTGATTTGTGTGGTAGTTAAACGTTGGTATTTTTAGAAATTGTCTCTGACTTAATAAAACTGTATTATACTTTCATAAAAAATAATATACGTAGGTATAGTGGAGTAAGTTTTGGGATTAGTACTTTACGAAACTATGCTGATGAAAGTGTGAATTTAATTTTTGTCTTTACATTCTTTTGAGATCCTACTCACTGATATATATTATATTTACATCCTAAAATCTTTTTGGCGTCATGCTCGTCGTGCATTTTAGGACGTCCCCCAGTTCCCCTTACTTTTTTAACATGTCTTAATGAATATTGCTTAGTTTTTTGATTTCCAGCTCCTTGGGATACGTGGTTTTCCCATAATTAGATTTTTTGCGATATTCGTCTTGCAGTCAACCTGCAACATTTTTAAAGTAAATAATATATATATATATATCATTCCATATGTTACCCTAGGTTATTTTTTTTATGTCTCAGTTGAAACCAAATGTGGTCCTAACGAAGTACTTCACGAATGTCCCGTTGAATGTAAATCCGATTATTGCCCTAAGTATGACGGTGAAGACAATGTCTCTTGTGAACCGAGCCATCCTTGCCCAAAGCCAGCTTGCAAATGTATCTTTAACTACAGACGAGCATCTAATGATACTTGCATTCCGACAAGAGATTGCCGTAAGTACATAACGATTTGAGCACTTTGGATAACATACTTATAAATGTATCTTATAGTCCAAGACCCCGCTGCTCGATTCTGCAATCACCTTTTTTTTAATAAAACGTTATTTAAATTTTATAGTGAGAAGCCACTCCATTAGTGACGGGTTGCCTAAAAAATTGCCGCAAATAACTTTAATTAAATTAAGTGACATCCATTCATTTATGTAAATTGCTTTTATATATAATTTTATAAATTTTAAGACATCTTAAAGGAAATGATGTGAAGATTTCAAAAATCCATTATTGCCAGCTCTCAAGTAACTTTAGGGCTGCCACGTATAAACGGATACATTAATATTGTTTATTTGAGATCTGGCAGCCATTGTTTTTTGAATTCTTCACATCACTTCCTTTCAGATGACGTAAATACTTATTAAAAAGCATAATGGATGCATTTTACATATATAAAAGGATGTCACTAAATTTAATTAAAGGTAATACTAGCTTAAAACAAAAAATATACCATAACAATGAACCTATAACTAAAAACCTTAAAAAATAAAGTATAATAACTAAAATACATTTTTAAAAGGAAGCCCTTTAGGCAAGGTTCCGAAGATACTGGCAGCGTTCCCCCTTTGGATAGCTAGACTAATTCTTTGTCCGAGGTAGCTGCCAGCTCTTCGGTCTCCTGTGATGTCGACTAATCTTTTTGTTATTTCTTTAAAAAGCCTTATAGCGCTAGGACCCCACGGACCAAGGGTCTCGACACCGAATGGGACAAAATCATATTCGGAGCCTAGACCCCTGTATTTGCATGCCTTAGCTTTTATTTACATTTTGTTAACAAATGCAATTTATTTATTAAAGGTAATTGCGTTTTTTTTAGGCAAGTCAACACTGATATATTGTATACTTAGCAATAATTCATTTAAATAAAGTTTCATTAAAAAACATGGCTGCGGTATCGAGTGGAGGGAGCTTGGACTGCCTTATATAGTTCTGTGGGATTTTTGATCACCGCTCTCTTCCACTACGACGACGACCTCCGTGGCCGAGTGGTTTGTGCGCCGGGTTTCATGGTGTCGCTGACTCGAGAGGTCCCGGGTTCAAATCCCGGTGGGGGCAGATGTTTGTGTGATGAACACGAGCATTTGTTACTCCAGTCAATATGTTTACAAGTTTAATATGTATTTCTATATAAATATACATACTTCTATATGTACTGTATATGTATTCTATCCGTTACCCTAGCATCCCATAACACAAGCCTTACAGTGCTTACTTTGGGCTAGGCTAATTGGTGTGTGTTGGAAATATTTATTTATTTATTAGTGGAATAGCACATTAAAGAATGACTGTAAGATAGTATAAGTAAAATAATGCTCTTAACTAAGAGCATTAATATTTATGAAGAACTCTTCATCACAATCATAATAAACCACTATCACTCAACTTAGGTACTCTGTTAAATACATACTACATACATCCATTATAATTATAAATATGACGACCTCCGTGGCCAAATGGTTTGTATGCCGGGTTTCAAGAAGTCGCCTACTCGAGAGGTCGAATCCCGATGTGCCCAGCTGCTTGTGTGATGAATACGAGCATTTGTACTCCAGTGATGGATGTTTAACATGTATTTCTAAATAAATAAACTTATATATTAGGTTGGGGAAAAGTTTCTTCACATTTTAACTAAATATAAATAGAATACTTTACTTACTATTTGCGAGTTATTAGTACAAAGTGAATAAGCTTGCCTCTGAAAATATTGTCGGGACTGCGACATCTTATAACCTTAATATATTAAGTTTTATTAAAGCAACTCTCCTGAAAGGACAATGAGCATACAATAATATTCTTGGTACCTGGCCGAATATTCTCGTGCCCAATCGTATCTAATCATTTCCTTTTTCTATTTGCTGTTCGAGGCAAACTAAAGTAATGGGAAATAAAATATCAATAGGACCAAGATCCATGAGGTACAATACTAGCGTTGCTAGATTACTATTCTAAACTACATGATAATCCGTTGAAAAGCAACAGACTTTGGTTTCTTAAGCTGTATTTTTAATATAGGTAGTTTCATGATCAACTTCTTGTAAAAATAGCAATTTCTAGTTAAATTGGTACTTACCGGTGAAAACTTAGGTTAGGTCTATTTTTGTTTTGACACGAGCCACAATCAATTATAAAACACTTCATATATAAGTTAAATCTTAAATTTAATTAATTTCACGGTTTTAAATTCCTTCAATAAGAATCACGTCCACAACTTTGAGTTTATTTGTAAACAAACTAGGAAACCACAGACTACTTACGGGGAACTAAGATGGCGACACGAGCACAGATGTAAAATAAGTAGATATAGATTGTCACTACTGTAGCGGATAATACGAAATAGAGTGCTGGTGTCTTTTTAATATGCATCAATAGGAATGTAAACAGGAGACAACACTATTACTTGTAATGTCTATACAAAATTACAATGTAGCTACATATGTTTATGTTTCATGAACCTTATTCAGAGGCTTCTACAGACACAGCGACATTTTGCCATGTAATGGCGTAATGCGTATCTAAAATGGCAGCTACCGAAATCGGAAGGGAGATTTTATTTTATAGAATAGCCCCACAGCTTTCTTGTAATGTATGATATCTATAAGTAAATGTTTTTGCTAATTTTCACGCTTAATTATTGCAAAGTTATATTATATTGCAGCCCCATTCCCGTGTAATAGACCCAATGAAGTGTATAATGAGTGCCCTCCTTTGTGCCCCACGGATAAATGCACTGATGCTACAGTAACAGGCGAATGCCCTTACTTTTGGGCCTTCTTAACTGTCATAGAGTGTAGCCCAAAATGCAGGTGTAAACAAAACTACTGGAGAAACAACGATGTCTGCGTCCCTTATGATGAATGTTGTAAGTTTACATCAATAAATAGATATTAAAGTTTTAGACAACAATGCTTCTTTTGTGTTGATTTGTCTTAAACTAAGCGGGGCTCGCTCTGTACATTTAAAGAAACATAGATCTAGAATAATGTTTTTGCTCATCACTTGAATACAGGGATACAAATCCAGGTTCTTTAGCTTGTTAAGGAGACGATTTCTACCCAGTTTCTATCCGGACCGGTGCCGGATAAAATGGTTCATCTGCACGGTTTGCACTTTTGTGCCGACCCCAAACCGTCGCTGTAGTGCCGGTGTCGTTAACAAACAAACCTCCATAGTGACGACCGGACGTAGACACGGTTTGAAACCATCCCGATACCCGGCGGAAAATCGTCCCGTTAACAAGCGCCCAGAGCAGAATCCAGATTCGCTACATCCATAGTCGACATCTTAGATTAAAACAAAAAGGGAAGGTACGGTACGCTCATACTAGCATCAAATAAAATATGATCCGACTCAACTACTTAAGCAACTCCCACACACGCACTCTGCATATAAACATTCAATCGACCGAGCGAGACAGAACTGTACCCCTAGCACGAACCATTATCGAATTCGTAACGTTTGCGAATCCGAAATGTCATTGTCAAATGTGTACTTATTTTTAGTTCTCGTTACGTACGTTGTGGCGCTGCTGTTCAAGTTTCCATACAAAATTTTACATTGACATTTCGCACTCGCAAACTATTCGAATTCGATAATAATTCGTGCTAGAGGTACTGAACGCTTCAACGCAGCGCGAGCGAAACGGCGCGACGCGGCGAGTCCGTTTCCAAATCCGTACGGCTGTATTGTTGTCCTTTTCTTGATAACAATATGGCGATATTGTAAGTGACATTTACGACAAACCGTGATTTTTGAGAAAAAAATGTTTTTACAGTTTTACAAATGAAAAGTGTTGCCGAGGCATTTGTTATTTGATTTTGAACTATTTCTGTTCTTTATAAAAGCATAAAAGGCATTGTTCTATCTTTATAACACAGGATATACTCAATATTGTTATATTGAGTGCACATGCAGCGTTTTTTAATGTCCAATTGTGACTAAAGCGAATTGTGGTCTTGCCAACGATATTATCATTGTGATCCGCTTAAATTGTGGTAATATCAACGATATTACCACAATTTAAGCGGATCACTTTTGAGCCGTTAGTACCGTATCATCTTCCCTTTTTGTTTTAATCGAAGGTCGACATACATATTTACTCAGATTACAGAACAAAAGGCAGATGAAGCGCACGGAACACTCAATGCGTGACACCAAAGCAAATACGAAGTTAAAAGTTAGAAAGTTTTTTATCTTTATGAACAGTTTTTACAAAGCAAACAGTTTGAAAAAGCAACACAGTTTTAATATAAACTTAACATTCACAGGACGTATTCATAAAGCTCGGTACTCATTAGCGATCTGTAACCGTAACCGTTGCATGCACTGTAACCAAAAGCATAGTGTGTACGTGGTTCGCTAACCTACTGCGAGCGGTAACGCGTGCGGTTTGCAGCGAGCCGACGTTTACAACTGAGCTACAAGCGTACATACTAGAACCTCGTACTGTATCACGCATGTTACGGTTGCAGCTCGCTAATGAGTACCCGGCTTAACACGATGCGTTGAAGTGTACTGAGGCGAATTGATATTCGCTTTTGACTTCGTATTTGATATGGTGCCACACAGTGCGTGTTCCATACGCTCCATCTGCCTTTTGTTCCGTAATCTGAGCATAGTTACAATATTTTGACGAAAACATTGTGATTGAGATTTTAAGATTATTCATATTTTCAACTAAAGTACAATGAGTTAGTTAGCTTTACTCACAGATCACTGGAGCACAGTGGCTTTAATGATTAAAATTTATTTTAGTTTCCGATTTAGACGATTTCGTTCTCCAAATCGTGAGAGTTATACTATACCACCGTAATCTATGTAATATATTCTCTAAATCTTTTTTTTTTATTTTATCTTTATTTGGGAAACAAACAATGAATTAATACTTATACCTAGATCTAATTAACAAACATACATCAATAAAGTTTCCACTATTATATAAAACATATAAAGGAGTTCAGGTAAATAAAATTGAGAAAGAAAAAAGACGTTAATGTTTTTACCAATAAAACAAAAAAATTACAAGTTTTGTTGGTTACTATTAATAATTATGAACTATTTAACATATCGTCAATACATTTTTTACAATTTTTGAGTGAACAGTTAAATATGTCGATCGATGTGAACCTATTGTTATAATCAGTACAAGACCTTATCACGAAAGTATTAGCAGTATATTTGGTGCTAATTATAGGCAAACTAAATAAACTTTTTAAACGGGAGCCTGCCCGAGGGCATCTTAAACCAATGCTATTCAAAAGGAATGGAGACAGATCTTACAGAAAACTTAATTTTTGCGTTGTCAATTTGAACTCCACAAATTAAGGGGACAAATAAATTAATCAGAAAGTGAACTAAGGTAGTAGCACCAATGACCGATAAGAACCAATGATCAACATTTTGTGATCCATGTAAATAAGAGTAGGTCAACATCAATAAATGTGATGTTTACCATCATTATCATCTTATCGCCACATTGGTTCCACTTACTTAATTACTGCTCTAGTGATCACTTAGTAGCACTAAGTGCAATGTGGCTCTGAATATATTTTAGCCACTTATCGCAGTATTACGTACGAGTAGTGTTGCCAGCTATCCCGATTTGTGCGGGACGTCCCGATTTTCAAGGGTCTGGGGATGCGTCCCGATTTGTACCTGATCGGGATGCTGAATGTCTCGATTAATCAAAAAATTAAATTTAGGTAATTAATATCATGCTATGCACTAGTAGTTTAAAACGCAATAAATTAAACCCAAACTTAAAGACACCTTGTTATTGTTTAGTGTCCCGATCTGCAACCGTAAATCCCGATTTTTTTTATCACTTGTACCGATTTAAAACAAATCGGACCTGGCAACACAACGTACGAGTGATTTCATTGTAGATATATTAAATTACTTAGTTATTTGTAACGTTTACTATGCTTTTGTTTACAGCTAAAGTGGCAACAATATCTAAAGAAAAAAGTATCCGCGGAATATAAGGAGCTGTGTGAATATAAGAGTGTCGCCGCGTATACTAAATGTGTATACCTAGTATTTCTCATATTTTATTAAATTTGACGCATACTTTGTCTGTCATTACCGTTTTTAATCACTGAGTTTTTGTAATTATATTTCACAAAATAAATATTTACAAATTGATATGCCTTATAATTCCTGGTGTAAGTAAATTAGAACTGAAAATCAATCATAAAAATTGTCGTGAAGATATACCACGTAAGTAATTATATACCAATTCATGAGAATTATTTCATAGGGGTTCTACCTCTCTCTTCTAAACCACTTAACTTAAGGATATTGTTTGATTTAACAACTTTTTTTAACTTAACCCAACAAATGACTTCTACTTAATGTGTGAAATCAATATACCTACATCAAAAGTGTCCAGGAAACAAGTACCCCGTCAATTTGTAAAAAGGTACAACATTTATTGTAATTGGATACCAACGTTGGATACATAGATCCTATATCTTTGATGTGAATAAATTTTATGATATTTTGTTAGACACATGAGCCTATTCTAAATGTCCACAGAAATTGTTTATTTGATGGAAGAAATAAGGATCAAAGATGACAGAAGAGTGGGCTTCCACGCAACATTCGCAAAATTGAAATAACTATGTTTTCGCCTTGACGGCAGCTATAAATCAAAAAGGATGCTCCTCCAGACAAGATATTACCTATTTTACGCCTCGTCAAGATCTTTCACCATGCTACTCGATAAACACGGCAAATATTTGGTTACATACTATACACTGAGTGCGAAGAAGGAGGTGGGGGAATGACGAAACGATCGCAGCGCGCACCATGGCGAAAAAGGAATTTTCGGCAGATCAATTGTCACTTTTTAAGTGCAAAATTTACGTATCCTTGCATTTTATGTCAAAATAAATAAATTTGCGGCACGAAACTGCTGCGTACCTAATTAACTGCAAGTATAATGGCAAAAACAGTGATCACAAATTCTATAAATTTCCACTTGTATGTTGCAAACGAGAACAATGAAAGAAATGGATAATCGCTGTCAAGAGGAAAAAGTAAACAAAGTAATTTAACTTTTAAAGAAACTTTTTAATATATTTTTTTTGTATTTTGTAGAAAGTAGCCATAGATAAATGATTGGTCACGCTTCACTCGACTAAAATAGATACTGCCGGCGTACTTGTCAAATGCGGCAAAAAATAGGTACTACAGCAAAGTCGGCGTACCCGGGCCTTCACCGAGCCAGGCTTATTGACAGTAGTGTATGAGGCGTACGTACCTAATCTCTTATTAAAATTTTACCTTAATCGAAAGAAAAATACCTAATAAAAAATAGATAATAAATAAGAAGGACACGGATCACATACCATCGATAAATATCGTAAAATTTCTTCTGGAAGGGGTTTTTGGTATATAAATGATTTTTTAACAGCGTTTTGGTATGTAATATACAAGCAGTGTCCCACTTCAAAAAAACAAAAATGAAACAAATAAGATTTACCGTGTGATATATTTGAAGTTGATACCAAGGTATACGTTTAACAGCGAGATCATGATAATGGTATTGACTTCAAATATATCAGTCTGTAAATAAATTGATCCGATCTGGGATTTTATGCTCCCCCCTCGGTGATACTGTGTCATCTAGCCTAGGTCGCTCGGAGGTCTCCTGTCTGTCTGTCCGTGTGTCCGGTCGGTCTGTCAGTTTGTCGCTTGGAGTGTTGGTAATCGCCGATATCTCAGCCGCCTCCAAAGCTTTGTCGGTTCCTACTTTTTTCCTCGTTCTCTTACTGACTTTAAGTTTATCAGTCCATCCAGGTTTCCCCTTCAACAGGACTTTGTCGGGTTTTATTTTTATTTTTAAGGGATCTTTTTGTT